TTTAATTTTTTAACTGTCTAATTAAATTTATCCATTTAATACTAACACTAAAATTAATATCAATTTTTATATTTTTTATATATATTTATGACAAAAAATATCCTTAATTTGTGCTTAGGGACACAAATTAAAAAAAAAACCCCTTTATTTTTTTAGGATATATGATATTAAATACATCAACTTATTTAATAAAATGTGAAAATTGTATAAAAAATTTTACAAAAATATTGTCCCTATGTCACCAAAAAAAAGAGAAAGAAAAGAAAAAATAAAAGGAAGCCTCAAGTAATATAGGAACCACCCTTTTTTTTTCTTTTTTTTTTTGTAATATAAGGATAACTTTTTTATAATATAAGGATAATTTTTTTGTATAACTTTTTTATATAACTTTCACATGTTATTAAATAAATGAATGTACTTAATATTATATATTCCAAATAAATAAAGGGGTTTTTCTAATAGGGCACAGGTTAAGGGGTTTTTTTTTAATAAAAAATGTATATAAAAAAAGTAAAAATTGATATTAATTTTAGTGTTGATATTAAATGGATGAATTTAATTAGATAGTTGAAAAATTAAAGGTTAGCTTTTATTTTTTAACATAAATTTATTACAAAAAATATATTTATTGCATTTTAAATTTGTGCCCTTAGGGTATAAGTTAGACAAACTTATGAATAAAAAGAGTTAATTATTTAAATGATATGTAAAATTATATAAAAAATGATATAAAAAAATTGTTCCTAAACTATTTTCCTTTTTTTCTTTTTTCCTTTTTTCTTTCTTTTGCATCTAGGTAGACAAACAAAATGCCAAATCCCTTGCCACATAGGCATGAGACGGCCGTATATTGCCACACAAGGTAGTCCCTGAACGACAATTAATAGGAGTTAACAGCAGTTAACGACAGTTAAGTTGACTATGAGAGTAAGAGCCCGATTGCTTCAATTGCAAAATTCATGGGCTTATATGCATCAATTAAAATCTAGGGGCTTAATAGCAATTCTCAGGTTAGTTCAAGGGCTTAACTTATGGTTTTGCCTAAAAAAAGAGAGAATTATTTATTTTAAAAAAAGTGTTGTATAGTTTAAATTGTATTAAATTATACAATTTAAACTATTAAATAGAAGTAAATCCCTTGATATTAACATGCTTGTTCCATGCTCGTGGAGCTTCTTTGAGGCCACACAATGCTTTCTTCAACTTATACACCTTATCTTCACTTCCCTGTTTCATGAATCCAAGAGGTTGCTTGACATATACCTCTTCTTCAAGTGGGCCATTTAGAAAAGCTAACTTCACATCCATTTGATGGATTTTCTATTGATTTTGTGTAGCCAAACCAATTATAAGTCTGATGGTCTGCATTTGAGCAATAGGAGAAAAAACTTCTTGATAATCATAGCCAAGCCTCTGCTCAAATCCCTTTGCCACCAATCTTGCTTTATACCTTTCTACCTCGCCATTTGACTTCACCTTCGTCTTGAAAACCCACTGGACATCAATTGCTTTATGACCTTGTGGAATATCAGTGAGTACCCATGTATTGTTCCTGTCAATTGTCTTGACCTCCTCATTCATTACATTTACCCACTTAGAATCTTGAATTGCCTCCTCCAATGTCAGTGGTTCACTATCTGCAAAAAAAAAAAAAGCAAAGTGTACCAATTCTCCATCATCATCAAGAGTTACCTCATAATCTCGCAATAGTATTGGCAGTCGACATTGTCATTGTGGCCTCTTGTAGATTTTTTTAGAGCTTGTGATGAGGAGGTTTCTTGAGTAGAGCTTGAAAAGGCTTTTTTTTGTTGGTGGTGGGATTTTTAGCTACTTTTTGAAGGACAAAAATAACTCGATTTTGAGGGCCTTTATGGGTATCAGCATCCCATTTCCAAGCTTCTTCTTAAGCAAATGTTACATCTTGACCAATAATCACCTTCTTTGTCTCAAGATTGAACAGCTTATACCCGCCACGCTTGTAGCAAATAAAAACTGTCTTCTCTGCTCCATCATCTAGCTGTGTCCCTGTCTTTGCTGAAACATCAGCATAAGCAACAAACCCAAATACCTTAAGATGTTTCACACTCGGCTTGAAACCGCTCCAAGCTTCTGTAGGGGTGATATTTTGGACACTCCTTAGTGGAGATCTATTCAACAAACAAATAGAACAAGAGACAGCTTCACCCCATAATGAATTGGGCATTCCTTTTGCCTTCAACAAGCTCTTTGTCATATCCATTATGGTTCTATTCTTTCGTTTAGCAACTCCGTTGTCCTGTAGAGTATAGGGAAAAGTGATTTCATGCTTTATTCCCTGTTCTTCACAGAATTTATTCAATTCATTGAAAGTATATTCACCTCCACCATTAGTTCGCAACATCTTAATAAGATGACCATTTTACTTTTCAACATGCGCCTTGAATTTCTTAAAACAATCAAAAGCTTCAAACTTTCTTTGTAAACAATAAACCCAAATCTTCTGAGTAAAATCATTAATGAAGGTGAAGAAGTACCTATTATTACCATTTGACATTGTATTCATTGGGCCACACACATCAAATTGGACAAGCTTAAGGGGTTGAGTTGCTCGTTGTTGTTGTTCTACTACAAAAGGCATTCTGTGATGCTTCATAAGAGTGTAGGCTTCACACAACTGGTTAGGATTATATATACTGGGCAAGCCTTTAACCAACTTTCCTTGAGCAAGCAATTTTAAACTTTGAAAATTTAGATGTCCAAACCACAAGTGCCAAAGCCAAGATTCATCCTTTATAATTGCATTGAGACAATTATAAGCTCCACCAGAAATATCAACTTGAAACATATGATTTTTGCTCAAAGGGGCTTTAAGAATAAGTGTACCTTGCTTATCTAGAATGGAGAATTGATGATCACATAGGCTCATAACATACCCTTTTTCAAGCAATTGACCCACACTAAGCAATTACTCTTCATGCCTAGAACATAAAACACATTTGAAATGTACTTGTGATCTCCATCTTCAAGTTGATAAAATGCTTCCTTTTCTAATTACTGGTATAGTTCTATCATCAGCAAATTTCACTTTTGTGTGAAAGGACTCATCAAGATCAAAAAATAACTCCCTTTTGCCACTCATGATTGGTACATCCAATGTCAAGGAACCATGTGTGATAGTTTGGTGTTTCACCAATAACAGTGACCAGCAAGAAAGCATGGCCATTGTCAACATCATCATCTCCTTGTACACAATGAGCCTTTTGAGTATTATCCTTGTATTTGCACTCCCTAAAATAATGGTCATGTTTATGACAATGGTAACATTCAACATTGGACTTGTCATACCTTCCTCTACCATGTCCATGACCACAACCTCTTGAATTTTGCTTATGGCCAAAGTTTGATTTTTCTTGGTCATTGCCTCCCGCTCCATAATTGTTTTTATGACCACCATGACCTTTGTTGAAGTGGAAACGATGTCCTCATCCTCTATCACAAGAACCATCGTGCTTTTGACTTGTTTCACCACCTTGATCACCTTTGATCGAAACTTAGCTTTGGAAGGCTTGCTGAATCGGCTTCTTTGTCTACTTCCCATTCATTTGTCACTCATGTGCTTCTAATGAGCCTGACAACTCATCAACAGTCATTTGGGACAAATCATGGGCATCTTCTATTGCTGCCACAATGTGCTCAAATTTTGGTGTGAGTGTCCGTAAGATTTTCTCCATTTTACCCTGCTCTTTGTACTCCTCTCCATATATTTTGCTTTTGTTTGTCAAAGCAAGAACTCGATTGATATAAGTGGCAACAGTCTTAAAAGACTCCATTTGTAGGAGCTCATATTGACGTCTTAAGGTTTGAAGTTTTACCTTCTTAACTTTCTTCGCACCTTTGTATGTTGTCATCAAGGTATCCCACGCTTGCTTTGATCTACTTGCATCTTCAATCCTCTCAAACACTTCATCATTCACCCCTTGATGGATGAAATATAATGCCTTCTTGTCCTTTGATCTACTTGCATCTTCAATCCTCTCATACACTTCATCATTCACCCCTTGATGGATGAAATATAATGCCTTCTTGTCCTTTTTCTTACTGTCACGGTGGGCATGCTTTTGGGCATCACTTGCATTTTCTACAATTTCAGCAACTCCATTCTCCACAATGCTTAGCAATTCATCGTAATCAAAAAGCACCCTCATTTGCACACACCACTAGTTGCAATTTTTGCCATCCATAACATGAACTGAAATCTGAACGAGACCATTTATTGTGCCTACTTTGATACCACTGATAGAGTAGGAGAAGAAATACAGTAATAAGAGGAGTTTTTTTTTTTTTTTTGAACATATTTTGCAAGGGCAGGTTTTGAACACTGTCGGGGGAGGGGGAATGCACCGTGGCTATGCCACTAGGCCTCAAGGGCCAGGTGCGTAATAAGAGGAGTTTTTAATCTGAAAGGATAGATATGAACTGATATTTTATTTCACTAATAATAGCCTTTATATGGGTAGAACTAGAAGACATCAACAATACAACCAAATAAATAGCAACTAAATCCTAAAAACAAGGCTACATGGCTAACATGCATATTGACACGTCCTGCACTAAGTCCTGTCCTAGAGAGTAACAAACAAACTGGTTCATAGATAATAGCTGACAGTAAGACTTATTCAACAGTGAAAACTGCAATAGGATCAGGATTAACAAACCAACACCCCAGAGCTCCTTGAACGAGGGGAAACGGGATGGAGAACACTGCTGGCGAGAGAAACCGTTTCAAAACCCGAGTTCAATCCGCCAGAGGAAGAAGACGCAATATTCGGAAGGTCACCATCGTCAGCTGCGTACATCTTTCCCTCTGAATCGGAGGAAGAAGTGAGAGAGGACTCAGAGGAGGCAAGACAACCGTCGGAGAAACTCAAAATTCAACAGTTTTATTCTTAAAATTCAGAAATTTTATCTAAATCGTTTATATATGGATCGAATTAGGGAAATGGAAAAGAAATTCGCAGAGCCGATCGAGTAACGGTTTCTGCGTCGTTGGGCGGGAACCGCCTCCCCACTTCCGCATGATTTGATTGGGCGATGGTATTTTAATCCTTTAAAAATCGATCAGGTACAAACGGCGCTGTTTTTAATTCGTTAGTTTTTTGCTGTTTCAATTTTCACCCTCTCCCCTAACTCTCTCCGGTCACATTCCGTCGTCGACGCTTTATGCGTCGTCACCGGTCCACACGCTCAGTTCAATCCGCCAACACCACTATAGCGTACGTGATCTCCTCCCAAAGTGCGCCGATTACTTTGATTCAGCGGCGGTTTTGGCTCGTCAGGGAAGCAGCACAGTTCTTCGGAGGTGAAGTCGTTGTAAATTTCATTGACAAAATCATACTGCTGTACAATTTGAGGTAAAGTAATTTCATTTCCACTTCGGAATACAAAAAGAGAAAAAAAAAAAAAAAAAAAAAA